TATAGATCAGTGGGGTCAAACTCAAATAGAAACTAGGACCACTAAACCATACATAAGAATTCACGTGGGCAGCACATTGACTTAGAAACCACATATTAACATTATTCGTATTCTATTCTAATTTATTTTGTTAAATATTTCCCATTTACATTTTAATTTGCTTCACGCTGCACTAAAAGTGTTGCATGCTGCTGGTGGCAGAGGATTTGACACTTCTGATTTAGATCAAATGAAATAACATTTATAAAGTGTTTTGCAAGTATTAAAAGTTGGCTATTATTATATTACTATTCATTCACAAGTTGTGGTGCATTGATTTGTTTGACATACATAAACATTAGGTGCTCTCCCCATCTGTGTGCTCGCCCTGATATTCAGAATTCCACTCTTCCAGGTAGCTTTAGGTGATAGACCCTACTACCTGGCTGACTGCTCCTTTACTCTGTGACCTGCCATGGCACTTCCATCTCCATTTATGTTTGCTTTGACATGCTGCTTTGGAAATGTTCTTGAATCCTTTCACTTTGTCTGGTTTTCCTCTCTCAGTGACTAGCAGCTGCTCGATCTCATGTGTATTTGTCTCTGACACTACTCAGTGGTTGTCCTTCCTGCTCATGACATCGCTATGTCAGGGTCAAGATGCGGTGTGTCCAACCGAGGCTGATCAGACCATTATGAGCTCAGAAGGCTACCACAGATCAGGCACAAATAGTCCATATAACATCTGAAGTGGAAGATTTGCTTAGAAAGCTTTCCCACATTTATACTACTCACAGAAAGGGCTCTAGATCCTACTCAGCCACCATCCTGTGTGATGTTGGGCAAATCAATCCCCTCTCTGGAAAGACCCTGGGCAAGTCACTTAACCCTGTTTGCCTCAGTTCCTCATCTGTAAAATGATCTGGAGAAGGGAATGGCAAACCATTCCAGTATTTCTGCCAAGAAAACTCCAAATGGGGTCACAAAGAGTCAGACATAACTGAAAAACGACTGAACAACAACAGAAGTGGGGAGAATTAGATTAGACAATGTTGAAGACTACTTCTAGCCAAAAAGATTTCATTTTATTTTTAATGAATAAAAATATAGCTCTCTCTTTCCCACCTCCCTCCCCCCACATTGAGAAAAAGAAAAGCAAATCCCTTACAGCAAATATTTATAGTCAAGCAAAATAAATTCTCACCTATGCCATGTCCACATTTCAATCTATACCTTGAGTCCATTGTTTGTGTCAGAAGGTGGGCAGCATGTTTCATTGTGGGTCCTTAGAAATCATACTTGGTCATTGCATTGGTCAGAGTTTTTAAGTCTTTCAAAGTTTGTCTTTGAAATGTTATTGTTGGGGCAGCTAGGTGGTGCAGTGGATAGAGCACCGGTCCTGAAGTCAGGAGGACCTGAGTTCAAATGTGACCTCAGACCAAACACTTTACATTTACTAGCTGTGTGACCCTGGGCAAGTCACTTAACCCTCATTGCCTTAAAAAAAATGTTATTGTTATTGTATAAACTGTTCACCTGGCTCTGCTGACTTCATTCTGCAGCAGTTCATACAAGCCTTCCCAAGTATCTCTGAAATTGCCCCCTTCTTCATCTCTTACAACACAATAGCATTCCATTACATTTATAAATGATGTATTCAGGCATCTCCTAACTGATAGGCACACTTTTGGTTTGCAGTTCTTTGCCACCACAAAAAAAATAGCTGTTAAAATATTTTTGTATATATGGATCCTTCTCTTTCTTTGATCTCTTTGGGATAGAGTAGTGGTATATTTGGGTGAAAGCATATGTCAAAGTTTAGTAACCTTGGGGGCATAGTTCCAAATTACTTTCCAGAATAGCTGGAATAATTCACAGATCCACCAATTTTCCCAGAGCCACTCCAACATTTTTCATTTTCCTTTTTTGTCAACTTTGCAAATCTGATGAGAGTGAGATGGAATTTGAGCATCGTTTTGATTTGCATTTTTCTAATTTTAATGATTTAGATCATTTTTCATATTGCTACTGATCACTCAGTTAACTAGCATTGATTTCTCCAAATATTTCATCTGTATTTTTATAAAAGGTGTTTTATAATTGCATTTATATAGTTCCTATATGTATTTTGGTAATTAGACTCCCAAATGTTTTATAAAATTTTGTGATTCTAAGAGTATTCAAAAAATACCATTGCCTGATTACCTGTGTGCCTGACTAGGATTAGGATAGAAATATGTAAGATCAAGAGCCTTTCCCCAGCACGCAAGTGGCCAAAGTATCTGAACAAACAATTCTCTAAAGAGGAATTACAAGCTATTAAAAACCACATGAATGTACCAAATCACTAATAACAAGAGGAATGAACATCTAAATAACCTTGAATGTTCACTTTACATCTAGTAAATTGACAAAGATGGCAAAAGATAAGAATATCCAATTTTAAAGGAGTTGTAGGAAGATAGTCATGCTAGGGCATTGCTGATGGAGCTATAAATTAGTACAGTCACTCTGGAAAGCAATTCGGAATTCTGCAAAGAAAGTGGCTAAAATGTCCACACATCTTGAGATTATACTGATAGGCACCTAACCTAAGCTGGTCACTGGAAAAAAAAAAAAGAGGCTCCATCTACACCAAAATATTTCTAGCAACACTTTTTGTGGTAGCAAAAACAGAAACAAAATCAAAACAAACAACTGGAAACAATGGAGATGCCCATTGGGGAATAGCTAAACAAAATGTAGTACATAAATAGAATAGAATATTACTGTGCTGTAAGAAATTACAAGCATGATGAATACAGAGAACCACGGAAAGACTTAAATGAATTGAGGTAAAGTGAAGTAAGCAGAGCCAAGAAAATAATACACAAGAAAACTATAACAATGTAAATGGAAAGAAAAACAACCTCAAAATCATGGAACATGAATGTTGTGAAATTATAAAGAGCAAACTTAGACTCCAAAGAAGAAATATGAGAAGACGCCTCTTCCAACTGCTTTGCTGACATAAGGGTTCACAGATGTAAATATTGCATGTCATAGTTTTTCAATGTATTGATCTGTTATTTCTAAATGTTTATTTTCTTCTCCCTATTTTCTTTTCTTTACAATAAAGAGTGGTTCTCTGGAGGGAGGAAGGGACACAGGAGAAAATCAAGATAATGTGAAAACAAAAAAAATCAATAAAAATCTATTTTTAATCTTAGATTAAAAAAAAAAAAGAAATACTGTTGCTTGTTTGTCTGCCTTTGCGTCTTGCTAGGGTTAGGATAGATTCTTTCTAAACCAAGAGAATATTCATTTTGAGCTACATTACTGTTTTCCAGGATAGATACCAGCCTGGCCCTATGCACTTGTCCATGCTTCCCAAACTTGACTGAATTTGATTTGGGGATGAGGACTCCAAGCCATTTCATTGCACGTATGTCCACAATAATAACTAGGAAACAGAATTGTACGTGTGCTTGCATGTGAGCATGTGTGAAAAGCTTAGAGAACAGGAGTTGCTTCTAGCATCTCAGGGCCTGATCCAAGTTAACAAGTGCTGGTGGAAAATGGAAGTCAGGAAAAAAGCCAGCACATGGCAAACTGTCCATCTGCCTGGGCTCCAAATCAGATTGCTGCAGACCCGATGTCAGGATCGCAGATGTAGCTGCTGACTGATTTCTAGCCAAACTTCTTGAAACTTTTTTTTTGAGGCAGCTGACACCTGTTTAGAAGTTTCTCCTCTCCCCACATTTATATCACCACTCCGATATAATGTCAGATTTCCTATGTGGAGAAGGTAAGGTGCAATCAAAATCAAATCTAGAACTCAGCAAGGGTTAGGATGATTTCGATGCTTGTCTTTATTTGAGGTTGTCTAATCTAAAAATCTCATTTTACTGATGAGGAAAATGACTCACCAAGATGGGAAGTGAGGGACTTGAGGTCACAAAGCTACCATTGGCATATAGTAAGATCAAGAGTTGAAGGGGACCTTAAAATCTCATCTAGTCCAACTCATGTCTTTTTCCATATAAGCAAACTGATACCCAAAGATGTGGTCACTGCTAGAAAGTAGCAGTCAGGGTTCAAACTCCTAACTCCAAATTCAGTGGTCTTTGGGGTATCCTATGAGCAATAAATAGAAGACATAGTACCAGAGCCTAGCTTTTCTAAATCCAAGGTGACTTCATCTAGTCCACAAACTTTTATTTCTACTGCCTACTTCCTAAAGTTGAGGAAATATTGAGCAAGTAAATCTTTGAGAACTCCTCCATTTTCATTCTCCCAGCAAGCACGTATATAGTGTTTCAAGGTTTGCAAAGTGCTTTATATGTGTTAACTTATTTTGTCCTCACAACAACATTGGAAGATAGGTGCTATTATTATCCCCATTTTATAGATGAAGAATCTGAGAGTTTAGGTGACTTGTTTAGGGTACACCAGGAGGAAGTGTCTGAAGCAAGATCCAAACTCAGGTCTTTTTGATTCTCAGTCTTTCACTCTATCTCCTGTGCCACCTAGCTGACTTTTCTTAGAAAGAAGAAACACAGTCATCGTGGTGTTGCTTCTTCTCAATATTACTCTGTGATGTAATGCCTTGAGAGCCAAGATATTCCAGTTCCAGTTGCTACTATGCCACTCAATATCTGTATGACCTCAAGGAAGTCACTAAGTTTCATAAGCCTCAAAGTCCTCGCATGTTGAAGTATCTGGGCAAACCATTGTCAAGAGAAGAATTACAAACTATTAAAAACCAGATGAATGTACCAAGTCACTAATAACAAGAGAAATGAACATCAAAATAATCTTGAATTATTCACCTTACACCTAGTAAACTGACAAAGATGGCAAAAGATGGGAATATTCAATAATTTTTGAAGGAGTTGTGGGAAGCTAGGCATGCTAGTGCGTTGCTGATGGAGCTATGGATTAGTACAGCCATTCTGGAAAACAATTTGGAATTCTTCAGAGAAAGTGGCTAAAATGTTCATACACCTTGAAATAAATGTTCTCTAATGGCCCCCTCCAGCTCAAATATTCCATGAATCTCCTTTGTCTTGTACCTAAGAGCCCCGTTGAGTAATCATGACTAGATGCAATGCTACTTATGAGTGGCTTCAATCCAGAGACTGGATTTAGGGTTCACAACAATTTAACACCTTGCAAGTTCTTATCTCACCTGAATCAGTGGCAACCGTACCAATCATTTTGTGGCTTTTCTGTGTACCTTCAGGAATCGTGGTGTTATCAGACATAATAGAATTAAAATGATGGCAGTCCTCTGAATTTCTGTAATACCTGCAGGAGTCCTCTATCTGGCTTCCCAAGTCTTCTCTGAGGTGAGCATCATCAGAAATCCTTCTCCACATTTCACAGATGAAACTAAGTCACAGGAACATTAAGTGAATAAATGTTTGCTAAATTCAATGAAATTTATTTGCTAGAGATCACACAGTGTTTCAGGGGTAAAACCACAATGAGGAACCAGGCTCCCTAACTCCCAAATCTAGTACTACTTCCAGGAATGTCACAGCTTTGGCATAATATAGCAGAAATAGTCATGGATTTAGAGTCAGAGAACCAAAATTCAAATTCCATCTTGTCTCCTTTCTATTTGTTCAACTTTGGGAAAAGTCATTTCCCCTCTTCAGATCTCATTATCCTTATATGTAAAATGAAGAGACTGGATTAGATGATAGCCAATATCTTTCCAGTTATAAATCAGTGATCTTTTATGCAAAGAACAGATACCATTCCAGAGGATCACTGTTAAAGAATTGGTTGGCTCCTGACCAGAACATGATGGACTCATGACGCAGAATGAGACATATGTTTTTGGACATGGCCAATGTGGGAATTTATTTTGCGGGACTGTGAATATTTGTGATGAGGGTTTGATTTTCTTTCCTTTTTCTTCTCATTTGGGGGAAGAGAGAGGGAGGGAAAAAAATCCTTGTTGATCAATAAATTAGTGATTTTATAATTATAAAGGTAGGGCTCATCTTCCCCAAGTAGTTGCTTCCCCCACCTGCCCCTTCCCCAGCATGCCAATTGGAAAGGATGAAATATGTGAAATATGAATAAACTTCAGAATAGGGGTGCTAAAGCTTTGTGCCTGTTCCCTGCTCTAAGCCCTAAGAGCCACTTAGGATGAAAGGATACAATTTCTGTGGCTTCAGTTTCAAGTTACTCCTTCTCCTGTCTCTTCTACTCCCCCTCCCCTTTTATCCGTACTTCCCCCAAACTATAAATTCCTCTCTCCTTGATTTACAGCTGTTTCTCCTGAGGCTGCATTCTTCTCCCCTTTGGTAGGTATCACATTTATTGTTCGTCCTGAGGGTGCTTCCAGGAGAAGACAGGTGCCACTTTCATGCATAGGTTTAGCCAATGGCAGCTGGCCCCTCTCCTGCCTCCCCTGGTAGGTATTCACCCAAGTGCTAAGCAGATGATGACAGAAGATGCTGAAGGCCTAAACCAGCAGCCCAACCCAGGCTCCTCCCTTTCCCTCCCCATGCTCACCCTCCCGTAAGCACTGGAGGGATTTAAGGGGTAAGAAAACTCCAGGTAATTCTAGCCACAGTCTCAGCCTCCCGGCCTTGACCCCCTCTCTGGAATCCCTGGGTGGGGAAGCTCACCAGCTTAACTCTCCTCTTTGGTGTTTGTTGGAAGGATCCAGCAAATCCTTTTGTTTGTTTGTTCCTTTTTCCTCTGGTATTTGTGCGTTTCATTTTCTATGAAGCCGGGCTTCATTTGGCAGCTGGGGAAAAAGAATCAAGCTGTGACTGGCAACATCCCTCCCCAAGCCTGGGAGGCTGCTTGGACAAGCTTGGTCTTAAAAAAACTGAAATCTCCCTGACGCCCCACTAAGAATACAAACAAGGCTGGTCTGACTCACTCAGGCCTCTCTCCCTTCCACAGACGGGCTAACCTCTGAGTATAATTAGAGACGCATTACAGTTAAAAAAATGGCGGGGCAGGCCTTAGGATGACATATGTAGCTGCTAAACTCTGGTTGATCCTTGCTTTTCTAAACAGCTTTCCTTCACCTATCTAGACTTTCCATCTCCTCTTGTCCCTTGCCTTTACTCAAAGAAATACGGTACAGATTCTGTACTACCACTGCCCCCCACTACTACCACCAACCCTCCCACATGCTTCCCAATGGAGGACAAGCTTTCCAAATGAAGGAATGGAAGAGAAAATTCTGTTTCCCTAAGCACTGCTTCATATAGGCCTCGGCTGACTAACCCGTGTAAGGCTTAAGCTGGGGCAAGAGTGAGTGAGGTTCGCTAACCAATATACACACCAAGCCACCCCTTTGCCAGTGCCTTCCAAGCCTTGTCCATGGATCCAGGTCTCTCTCTGTGGAAATGATAATTAGAAAAGGTTTCAGTGAATGTCTACGTCTCCCTGCTTACCAGTCACAGCCTTCTCTCTCAGAACCCCTGCATCCTGGGCCAGCTAGGGGTATAGCTGATGAGGAGGAGCCCTGAGAGACTCAGTGGTTGGCCCCTTTCTTCAGGGAGGGCCTGGCTACTTTTTCATCCCAGAACAAACACATTTTTGATCTATGAGGCTACTTTCTCTCCATGAAAGGATGTGTCTCCCAAGTGACCTCTTCCTTGGTAGTTGGAGGGAAAATGTGATAAAAGGCAGAAGCCGTGTCTTGTGAAGATAATTCATATGTTGGCCAATAGCTGGAATAAAGTATCTGGGAACCCAGTGCAGTCTCCAAACAACTCCGCATTAAAGGCATCTGGGTTTAATAAAACTAATAAATCAAACACTGTTAGGCGGCACCTCCTGGCTGTGTTCTAGGTCTATAATTGGTGCTCGTGGAAAAGAAAAGCATAAGAATCATGGAGTCAGCAGAGATGCCACTAACCTCTGATGAGCTGATTGGGCTCTCACACAAGGGCTCTGTCCTTGAATTGTTTGGACAGGAAGCTTATCTAAAGTACAGCCCCTTGCTTTTTTAAAAAGACCAGGTCAGGTCGCCTTTTTCCAAAAACAAATAAGAATGCTTTGCTCTCCACAGAGAATCCCAAAGACCAGAGAGTAGGACTCAAGAGGAAGTGATCCAGGAGCTTGGTTATTTAGCCTAGAGGAACAGAGAATGTGGAAAGGCTTTTAATGGTCTTTAGGCCTATCACAGATTATAATACGTTAAAAAAAAAAAAAAAGAGTAAGAATAGTTAGTTTTCTCCCGGGGAGGAGCAAAGGGAAAGGGAAGTGTAATAGAATGTACGCTCCTGGATACTTCTGGTCTTTCTATCCTCAGCATCTAGCAAACAATAATTCCATTATAAGTGCTTGTTGAGTGACTGATTGACTACAGATTGCTAGGCATAACATATGTGATCAAGAAAGTTTGTGGAATTATCTTCTATGGTGGAATTGCAAAAAAAGCTGTCCTTCTGTCTAGGATGATTCAGTTGCAATACTCCAGGGAGGTAAGGCAAAGGACTGAGTGACCCTCTTAGATCCCTTCTAGTATCAAAAATGGATGACCCAAAGCTTGGGGGTGAGTCCAAGCAATGTGTCTAGGTCCTAGCATAGGGCCTTCCACATAGTAGGTGCTTAATAAATATTTGTTGAATTGAATTCACTTTAAAAATAGAAAAACAAAGCCAAGCTCTCAATAAAGATTGAACCTGAGTCTCATAAGAGACCCAGTCCCTACAGAAAAGAGTGTCAAGTGACATCTTTAGCCTTTTGGAACAGCTTATATGACCTGAGGTTAGGACCAGGAATGGACAGAATCCTGAATCTCAGAGTTGCAAAGTCTCCTCCAGTTCAACCTATACCAGAATTCTCAACAAGTGGTCATCTAGGCTTGGCTTAAGTCCTTCAAGGGAGTGGAAAGCCATTTCCTCAAGAGGCATCCTGTTCCACTCTTGGGGAGCTCTAATTCTTCCATTTTTCTACATTAAATGGAGCCAAAATACAACCATCTACAACTTCTGCCCAATCTCCTAGTTCTTCCCTTTTGGGCCTTACATAATAAATCTATCCCTCTTCTACAAGACAGCACATCAAATACTTGAATATACCCATCAAATCTTTCCTAAAACTCATTTCCAAACTCAACTTCATCTGATGCTTATAGACGATGATTTTGAGGCCCTTCATGAACCTGACTCCAGTGTTCTGGATGCCCTGCAGCTTAACAGTGTCCTTCCTGAAATACAGAAACAGCTATATATAGCCCTCTCCTTATAGGAAGCAGGCCCTCTTTAGGATGAGGAACCAGAGAGCAATGAATGTTTGGTGAATCACTTCTTAATTCCCTGACTCATCTTGGAAACCCCTCCACACCAAGGTGAGGAAGCATTTGAGACAGACAGCTGTTGAACATTCAATACAATGAGTTCACCGATCTTGGGTGTAGAGACTAACAATTAGCATTGATTCCAAGAGAAACAATTATATTGTGCTTTACCCCCCCCCCGCATTTCACTTCATCTGCTCCTGAATAAAGAGAATAATCTCTAGTCATTTTGCAGCAAGATGGTATACTCCTGGGTATCTGGGAGATTGTACCTGTCTCTAGAAGGTCAACAGCAACAATAAAAAAAACTCACATTTATATAGCGATTTACAGTTGATACGTTTTCTTTACAACCCTGTGAAGTAGGTAGTGCCATCATTATTGTTTCCCATTTCACAGATGACAAAACTGAGGATCATAGAGCTAAAGTGACTTGTCCATCCATGGCCACACGGCTAATATGTAGTGGATCCAGAACTCAAATCTAAGTCAAATTTACTTTTCTTTTCTTTTTTTCTTTGAGGCAATTGGGGTTAAGTGGCTTGCCCAGGGTGACACAGCTAGTGAGTATCTGAGGCTGGATTTGAACTCAGATCCTCCTGACTTCAGGACCCGTACTCTACACACTGCGTCCTCTAGCTGCCCTCCAAATTTACTTTCCGTTAATAATACGAGATATAAGCTTTGCTTCTTTTTTCAATCTGTGTAGCAAAGACAGAGTAGGTAGGGAAAGAATGGACTGCCGTTTAAAGAAAATGCTAAGTATTTGTGGATGGATATAGTTTATATACATGGCTTAGTATAACATAATAACATGGCCTTATACTTTTTATGTTTTTTAAATTTTTTATGTTTTGTTTATTGAGCAAGAAGCTCGGGCAATCCACATGCCATTTATATATTCTCACAACATCCCTGCAAAAAAAAAAAAAAGTGTTCTGATTTCTAAAACAGTCACAACAGTCTAGCACTTTAAAAAGACAAAGGTGGTACTTTAGATAAACTCCCCAAGTCACCAAACAAACAAACAAAAATAACTCTTTAGGCTAGACGAAACTACATTTATAATTTTGCCCTGTAGATTGGAGGCCAAGATACCGTAAATCTGTGGAGGGAAGCCCTGAGTGGAGTTTCCAAGAGGCTTCTCCTGGTTCCTTCAGTTAACACTCTTGCTCCTTGCCACCCATACCCCTGAGGAAATCACACCTTATTTCTTTTAAAGAGATTTTATCTTTACTTAACTGTATATGTTGTACCTACAATAGAATGTGGATTCCTTGAGGGCAGGGATCATTTCATTTTTGTACTTGCATCTCCAGCACCCAGCACAGAGCCTGGTGCATAGTGGACACTTAATGGATACCTCTTAAATTGAATTGAATTGAATTTTCTTGGGTTGAGGCTATGGTTCTGTCTGCAACAGAAAAGACTGAAAGGCAATTTTCTCTCCCAGTTGGCTTCAAAACCTGTACTGTTGAACACTGCAGCAACAGAGAAGATAAACCAAGCCAAACTGGCGATTTTCATCACTGATGGACATTTAGAGAGCAGAGAGCAGCGTAACGGGTCAGGGTTACAAAAACCCAGGGTGAAAAAGACATAGTTGTTATTGTCAAGGAGTTTACGATCCAGTTGGCCAGACTGGATGCATGCATTAGAAAGTAAATAACCATATAGGGATGTATATGGTGAGTCTATATGCATGTTATAATAAGTGAGCAAACAATAAATGTTAAGAGCTCAGAGAAGGGAAAAATCACTGTGGCTTCAGGAAATCCTGTATTTCACAAAGGAAGTAGGACTTGATTGGGACTCAAAGGCTTAGATAAATGAAGAAAAAGTAAATGGGTGTTCTTGACAATTACCAGCTAGGTGGCACAGTGGATAGAGCACCAGGCCTGGAATCAGGAAGACTCATTTTCCTGACATCAAATCTGGCCTCAGACACTTACCAGTTGTGTGACCCTGGGCAAGTTACTTAACTCTTTTTGCCTCAGTTTCCTCATCTGTAAAATGAGCTTTGCCAAGAAAACCCCAAAATGGGGTCACAGAGTCAGACACAACTGAAAAATGACTGAACAACAAAAAACACATGTATGTTGCATTTTAAGGGCTAAAAAGAGCTTTCTTCCCAACAATTCCGTAAAGAAGGTAGCATGAAGATTTTTGGTGCTGATTTTACAGATAAGGTTCAAATATAAACTCACAACTAGCAAGTGTGAGAGCCAGGATTCCAATGGAAGTCTCCTGACTCTCAGTTCTTTCCACTATAGTATGGACAAAGGCAAAGAGGTGGAAAAACTGTAATAATAACTGATATTTCTACAGATTGAAGACTTATAGAATACTCTGTCTACATCCAAAATGTAACCTGCAGGCCCCATGTGGCCAGCGAGACCCCCAAGTGTGGCTCAAATCAGATTAAAATGTAGCTCTTATCTGATTTTAACGTGTTGATATGTTAATAAAAAAAAGAAATGTGTAAATATGTGTGGTTTTCTAGGTTGATAGATGGCTCTGCAGGGATCCTTAGTAGGATTCAGTGGCCCTCATTTCTATTTGAATTTGATGCCACTGGTCTACATGTCTCATTTGATCATCACACTAACCTTTTGAAGTTGGTGTGACAAGTGGCAATATCCCTGCTTTATAGGTGATGAAATTGAAGTTAACAGTTAAGTTGGATGACTGGCCCATAATCACAGAGCAATAGCTCTGTCACAGAGAGCCTTCAAAGCCATGGCTTTCCTAACTCTGAATCTGGCACTATTCACACCCTACTAGGAGGGAAGTGAATGAATCCGTTTGGCTGGAGCAGAGTCCAGAGAGGGGAACAGGAGGAGTTCAGACTTCAGAGATAGATCAGAAGCCAACAGTTGCCCTACATATTTGCCTTAGCACCAGGAAAACTCTCCCCAAGCAGTAGATTATAGTAATAACCAAGGCTTACACATCATCAGATTCATCTAAAACATGTATTTTAAAAAAAACAATGCAAATGATACCTGGCATTTTTACTGTGGCTTTTTTGTTTGTTACAAAACTTTCACATTATTCATTTCATTTTATCTTCAAAGGTACCCTGGAAATTAGCCAAGGCAGGAATTATAAGTCCCATTTACAGATGAGGAAACTGAGGCCAATAGAAGTTAAATTACTTGCCCAGGGCTTTGTAACGGTGCCAGCACCAG